TAGTAGAAGTTAAATTGGGATTTAGTTCTGAATAATTGCTGTTGCCTACTTCAGATCAAATGATGACTTCACTTTCTAAAGCTGCTTGGGCCATCTGGGCCATCTTGTTGAATATTGCCTTGGTGATAGAGATATAGTATTATAGACAACTTTTTCTTCCTTTCTGTTTTTGATAGACTTGAAGGAAATGTGCCTTAGTGCTTTGGCCAACCTAACGTGGCAGTCCCGAACACAGGATGAACATCCGAAAACCATGTTCTCCAAAGATAAGGTAGAGATGAGATTGATGTGGTTGGAATTATGCCAAAGAATCTGGTGGATGTAAATACACTCTTTAACAACAAGTACTTGCTCTCCAATTTGTATGAATACATAACTGTGAATTCAGTGCTATCGTTGTTCTTATTTCATGTGATTTACTAATTTCCTAGTATGTGTCCCTTGGCTTAGCTATTAGTACTATGAATTCTTAATTTTCATTGGCTTTATAGAAGCAAATAACTGTCTGTCCCACAGCAATCAATTCTGAGGTGAACTTTCTCAGTTTAGGTATTTTTATAGATTCCTCTCACAGACTGTCAAGGGAAAAGGGGTCAGTTTCCTTTTGTCAAAAGGAATTATCATCTATTGTTAAACTGGAAAACCACATGACTAAAGTCAGGACTTAGAACTACAAGGGGACTTCAAAAGCTTCATGGGAAAATGGAATTAAAAGATAAAAATAAAAAATATAAACTTTATTTCTCAACATAAGCTGATCAAGTTCAAGACACGTTTGTAAGTTGTGATACCAGCTGTTTAGTCCTTTCCTTCTGAACTGAGGGTCCTGAGAATTTAACCATGTCAATACAATCTTTTCTACACTAATAACTGAAGAAAAATTGGTGCCCTTTATAGACTTTTTTCAGATTAGGAAACAAAAAGAAGTCAGAAGGAGCCAAATCTGGACTGTTAGGTGGATGCCTGATGGTTTACCATCAAAATTCTCACAAAATTGCCCTTGTATGATGCGAGGAATGAGCAGGAGCATTGTCATGGTGAAGAAGGGCTCTCTGGTGAAGCTCTCCCAGGCGTTTCTCTGCTAAGCTTTGGCTGACTTTCTCCAAACACTCTCCTAATAAGCAGATGTTGTCATCATTTGGCCCTCCAGAAAGTCGACAAACAAAGTGGCTTGAGTATCCTGAAAAACTTGCCATGACCTCTGCTCTTTGACAGGCCCACTTCTGCTTTGACTGGACCACTGTCACCTCTTGGTACCCATGGCATTGACTGTGCTTTGTCTTCAGGATCCTATTGGTAAAAGCCATGCTTCAGCTCCTCTTACAGTTCTCTGAAGAAATGCTTCAGTCTTGATGCCAGTTTAAAATTTCCATTGAAAGCTCTGCTCTTATCTGCAGCTGATCTGGGTGCAACAGTTCTGGCACCCATCGAATAGAAAGTTTGCTCAACTGTAATCTTTCAGCCAGAATTGTGCAAGCTGAACCAGTTGAGATGTCAGATATTGGCTGTTGTTTCTGCTGTTCATCATTGGTTCTCTTCAATTAGGGCATGAACAACATCAACTTTTTCCTTGCAAATTATGTGGATGGTCTGCCACTGTGGTCTTCATCTTCGACATTGTTTCGTCTCTTCTTAAAAGGAGTTATCCTTTTGTAAACTGCTGATTTCTTTGGGGCATTGACCCATAAACTTTTCATAAAGCAGCAATGATTTCTCCATTCTTCCACCCAAGCTTAACTATCAATGTGATGTTGGTTCTTGCTTCAATTTTAGCAGAATTTGTGTTGTTCTGATAGGGCCTCTTTGCAAACTGATGTCTTATCCTTCTTAGTGCTTCAAACTAGACCCTGTTCAGACATGTAACAAGTTACTACAAGTTTATTTCTGGTGCAAAAAA